TGGAACCTCTATTGTGATTTGATGTGGTTGTTGAGGGGCTCCTGCTCTTTGAACATTTAGTATGGTCATATATAATTCTTCATTCTACTATGACAAAGTCTCTATCTTGATCCTTAATGCTTTAAGAGCATTAATAATAGAATGTAACTTGATCTTTTTAGAGTTTGTCATATTGACTTTTTAACCTTTTGCCATAAAAAATCAAAGAAACATATGCCTTTAAATGAAAAAAACTTAATCTTTGGTATAAAAAAAAAATAGAAACCAAAAGAATATTAAAAAAAGATTAATATTAATCTAGAATAAGGTAATCCGCAACCTATAGAATGGTATAGTACTTTGAAGAAGAGAAGTAATCCACTCTCTGTCAAAAAATACCAAGCTTATTTTATTGTTTTATGGCGGTTTCAACAAACTATTAGGGACCATATATAAGACAAGGATTCAAGTCCAAGGAATGGAGTTAGCTCGACATTAAAACAACAACAAGATACAAGACAAGAAGATCTTGGCTAGATCACAAGAAGTGAATTGTCAAGACTGAGGATCTCTCCAGCCTCAACTTCTATATATATAAGGTCCTAAGAAGCTTCTTGAGAAGTTTCTATGAGGCTTGAGTACAAAATAAGCCTAAGATCCTTCTTCACCAACTTCCTAAATCATCTAAAGCTTCCTAGAATCTTCTAGGATCTCCTATGACCTTCTAAAACTTTCTTAGAATCTACTAAAACCTTTCCAAATCTTTTGAAACCTTTTAGAACCTTCTAAAACCTTCTTCAGTTGTATGTTTGTGATACAAATTCTAAATCAAATTCTTAATCCTACTTCAATTTCAAACCATAATCAAACTTTAATTAAATCCTAAGTAAATCCTAATTCAGTTCTAAATCCTAACCAAATATTAATCAAATTCTAAACCATAATTCAACCTTAATCCTAAACTAAATCTTAACCAAAACTTAACCAACTTAACTTAATCCTAAAATAATTTAGAATCTCAATATCTATCAATTAATCATTGATCTTCCTTAAAATTTTATACAGTTCTCAAAAACTAAGTTAGCAAAAAATATACAAAATTTGAAGATAATCAAACTTATCAAATAGAAGGAAAATCTTAAAATCTACTCATGCATTGGCCAGCCTCCTATTCCAATCTAAATGTTGAATTTTTAGTACTAATATCTCCTTTTTAAATCATTTAATTATTTTTAAATTTTATCTATATATAATAAATTAAGTTTATTACCTTTATATATAAATTTCATTCCAATCCAACTAATAGATTGCTAAAGATCATAGAAATTCCAACTAATCCATAAAATCTATTTTTTGAGACCTCAACCTACTTAAAATTTAATAACCTTTAATTCAACTATTTGATCAAGTTTAAACTTAAAACATACACTTTAAACAACTATTCTCATAAGTCCTAAAATTTTGAATTATAGATCTACTACCAATAGTTGATATAACACCTTTTTTATTTTACAAATTTTAGAATCACCCAAAACAATTGTGACTATGCAAAGTTCTTACACAATCATCACATACTCAAATCATTCAAAATTGGTGCTCAAAGAAACCCTATTAAGTCTGCTCTCAAATTTCTTTCTTCAATTTATAAAAGAGCCTTAGAATTACCATAGGTGACTTTTTTTGTACCTTGGGAACTGATTTCGATCCAAGTTAATAACTGGTCCTCTCCAAGTATCAAATTTTGGTCTTTTGAGTTAATTTTTTTTAAAACCAACTCCTAACTTCTTCTTACACATGTTCATATTCTTTATTTTTCTAATCTACCTTTTTTTTATTATTTATGGCCTTACAAAGTAAATAGAAGCCTACTTTGTAAAAAGATAGTATTTACACCTTTAGTTTTACTTTCTTTTAGACTATTGTCTATTTTCTAAAATAATTTGCTAAAATTTTTGAAGTAAAATCTTCTATAATATAATAATTTTTTTACTTTTTTCACCTATTAATTGTATTAAATCATGGTAACGGGATCAAAGAGGACTAAGAATGGAATAAAGTCAAGAAGATTGAGAACAAAGTCAAGGAGATTGAAAATAGGGTTGAGGAGGTTGATGGAGGAACAAAGAGAGGCTGAAAATAGGATCAGAGAGGTTGGTAATATAGCTAGGAAGAATTGATGGAAAAACAGAGAGAGACTGGAGCAAGATTGGAGAGGGTTGACTAAAATACAGGAGACTAAGTATGGGATAAAGATATAAGAACAATAGAAACATGGACAAGATATAAGAAGTGTAATGATAGTTTTTTAAACATTGATCATTTTAGTATAAATTTGAGTTGTTTTATCATTCTTTGAATATAACTTTTTGTATAAACTTTAATTTATCTCTTCTTATTCTTAAAATTATATTAATTCTTAAGATCTAATCTTTTATAAATATATATATATATATATATATATATATATCATTGTTTGAATTTATAAAAATAATAATAATAAAAAATAGCATCTATTAGATAAGATAATATGGATAAAATACAAAGAGATAAGAAAGCCTCATAATTGGATATGAAGAAGGAAATAAAAGGAACTTGGAAATGGAAATGACATAACTATGGAAACATATAACATGAAAATGATCAAAATAGGGAACATGAAAACTATAGAATATGAAAATGTTTGAATATGGAAAAACAAGAACATAAAAATGAGAAAGTATGGACAAACAAGAAAATGAATGGATGTGCCAAAGATTATAGTAGTAGTCTAATAAAACTTTAAATGTTCCAAAGAAAGAAAAGAAATCATGTTATTGTTGCTTGTTTATTGTATAGATTCAAATATGAGATTTTTAATATGATTAGTTACAAAAGAAGATATAGTTTTAATAATAAAAAATAATCCTACAAATATTTTTTTATTTTTTCTACTCCATATAAATTTCTTGCTAAAATATAAATATTTATTTCTAATTTTAAATAAAATATATGACCTTCCAAGTTCTTACAGAGAAATACACTTTATAAATGCATGTCATTGCCTAATTTTCATAAAGTACAATAATTATTTTACTATTTTTATTATTAATTTCATATTTGCATTATAAGAGCAGATCCAAAAATCTGTAAGTTTTGATTGTTTTCATTTAATATCAAAGATGATATATATATATATATATATATATATATATATCATATCTCACATATATCTCTTTAAGCAATTAACTTATAACCTTTTATCCTATCTTTTATTTTTAAACATTACATTATTCAACTCATATTTTAATGTAGCTTTTTTAAATACATGTAGCTATATATCTATATTAAAGATATTAATAAAATATGTAATAATAACATATTTTAAATAATTTAATTTAAAAATAAAAATACTCATTACAAAATTTTGTTGAATAATATTATTCACTACTTGCATTAAATCTTTTAAATACATATTCATCATTGTTATCTTTAAAAACATTGTTTCGTTTTTTGAAAAGGTTTAAGTATCAAATCTCCAAGTAAATCAGAATAAATAATTAAAGAAATCTAATATCAATCCATATCAAATGAAAAAGAAAATTAAATTCATCGATTTTGATTGGTGTTTGATTATTGAATTCAATATTTTTGTTTTTTTTAATATTTGGATCGTGACTCACATGTAGGAAACCTAACCAAATCCTCATTTATTTATCTTTTATTAGATATATTTTAATACAAATAAACAGCTGTAAAAATGACAGAATGTGACAAATGTATTAAATAATATTTAACTTAAAATATTGCTCAGAGCATAGGTTTGAGAACAAACAAATGTTGACTGCCACAATATATATATATATATATATATATATATAGAGAGAGAGAGAGAGAGAGAGAGAGAAAATATATATAATATATATTGGATAAGTAGATAACACATATGAGATAGATACTTTGTTTGAATTGATGTATCATATTACAAAATTATAAAAAAAAAAAAAAAACGTTTATAGTTACTTAGCTAGGTTATATATATATATATATATATATATATAGAAAAGAAGAAAAATGTATATAATATAAAAATCTAAATTCATGCATTAAGTAATTTCCAATGTAAGTTAACATAAGTGTCCTTGCACCTAAGACAGTTAACATTGCATAGCATTGACTCAGTTTACATTGAATGATTAAGTATAATAAATTTATTTTTGATATATACTTCAAATATTTTTAAAGATAAAGTATATTTATTACAATTGTCTTTTAGATCCTCATGTATACACATGAAGTCTACAATATAAATTATATATATATATATATATATATATATAATTTTTATTCGATGGTTCAGAAAAGTGTGTGTGTGAGTGTTTTTTGTGTTCAAGGTAATAATTTAATTGCAACACATAAAGAAGTACACAATTATAAAAACACAACCTAAGTAGTCACATTATCATTATTCTTTTGAATAAAAAATCTGTGAGATACCTCACTTTTGAAGTATTTACAATAATATTATAAATAAAAAAACAAGAATGCACGAGGAACTCACGCCTGGTACAACAAAATGTAGTTGTGGTCCTCGGTCTTAGGCAAGCGTCCAGTGCCCTAGAACCGCGAGCGGGGGCCGTGGTCGTAGGACCCGAGCACATTAGACCGGTTCGAGGCACCACCCAAGACAGAGATGCGGGGGGGGGGGGGAGGTGCTCGGCGCCTCCGAAGTTCAAAAAGAGGGTGGGATATGGCAACGAAGCCACGCACAGTCGGAGGACGAGGGGGGGGGGGCTCACCATTCATTCATCGGTGCGTCAGTCCACGCACTCCGATGATGCCCCAGCAGCACCCTCCTCCTCCTGCTCCTCCTCTTCGTCGCGCACTTCCCAGTACCTTCGGGGCTCGGGTTGCCCTTCTTCTGCCTTTTTCCAGCCGCATATCCGCCTCGGCAATCCGTTGCCGTCTTCTGTCGATGAATTGCGTAGTCCGCTATCTGTCTGTGTACCAGCAGTGGGGCAGGGTGGGGCGGGGCGGAGCGACACACAGACGACCCGGAGATTGATTGGTGGGGATGCTGTGTAATTTGTGCGCAGATTTGCTTTGCATGTTTGTGCTTAGAGTAAGGAGGGAGGGAGAGAGGGAGCAAGGGTGGGGGAGAACGAGAAGGAGAGAGGGAGAGAGAGAGAGTAGTGAGCGTTTGAGCAAGTGCGGGGAGGAGGGAAGCGGATGAGGGACCGGCAGGGGATGTGATGCAGGCGCACAGAGGAGAAGCAGCGGAGGTGCAGCAGAAGTCGAGGCAGAGAGCGGGGCATTATGTTGTAGTGAAGGCAGTGGTGGATCAGGTGTCTCAGAGAGCGGCGCTCTTGTTGGCCGACTCGTCCTGTTTGCTTGTGTCGCTTGCAGGCTCTCAGAGCAAAGTGGTGCCGATTGCGGTGCCGGCGCCTTGTACTGATGCTTGCTTTTTGCGCCTGCAAGCCTACGGGCCTGCAGGCGCTGCACCGTCGGCTTCCGGCCTGGGTAACAAGTTCGGGAACGGTCTGTCTCCTTCTTCCTCCAGAACAGACTTGGGCGACAGCGGGGAGTCAGGAGCGCTGAAGATCGTGCCGGGAGAGTCTCCTACTTTCAGAGCGCAGGAGCTGCGAGAGAGAGAAGCTACTGGCAAGCTTAGTGGCGGGAATGTCAAAGCCAAGGGGCAAGGGTTAGCAGGAGTCAGAAGGGAGTTGTTTGTTGTCACGTCCCGGCCCGCCAAGGGAGGTTCCTGCACTGATCTCAGAGCTTGGTCCTGTGCTGAGTCTGCCTTCGTTGGTGCGGACATCGAGTTGGAGCCAGGGAACAGGAGATTTAGGGCTAGGGAAGGGCCGCATGATTTACTGATTAGCAAAGCATTTGCTCGACTTGATGCTCCCCATGGATTCGCAGTGAAGATGGCAGCATCCATCAACGTGATTATCTTGTATTCAAGCTCTGCAGGTATTCGGCTGCTTTAAACATGCTTTCCCGTGTATGTTACATGCAGAGGAAAACACATTGGAATGCCAAGAATGGAGGCATTCACTAGTCTCATTTCATGTGCATTCTTGGTCGATAGATGAATTTCCTCCCACGCAGCTCAATATTGATTAGGAACGAGGGTGTAAGTTGTTGAAAGTGTGCACAAACACGATAAAGAGATGCAAAGTAGGCTTATTTATTTATTTATTTCGTCGATGAAGCACTAGTCAGCCATTTTTGTTTCTCTTTCCCACTTTCGTGCACCTTAACTGTTCCTTTTCATTCGGGGGGGGGGGGTGGGGTTTGGCGGAAGTTGTGAGGTTTATATTGAATTAGTCGAGTTTAGACATCTTGTTATGCGTTACCCGCTCTAGAATTTACGAGGTGACATTTTTTACAGTGCTTGACTATGGAGAGTGCATTTGCTTTTAGATGTGAAATTCTTGTTTCCTTTACGTTCTTCCTTCTCTGAAGGTTCTAGGTCTAGTGTTGTAGAATAAAAGAGAGGAGATTGTCGCATTTAGGGCTGACGTGTTTGAAGCAACTACCACATTATGTAGAAAGCTGAAAAGCTCTAGAATGAGAGTGTCAGTTCTTCAAGTACAATTAGAAGCTGCTGTGGGATCGATTCAGAGTTTGTTTCTTCGAGGAATACCTGGAACTGTATGTCACGAGTTCTGCGTTTTAGCGATGTTAACTTCTCCATTCCAGTTTACCCTCATTATTTGAATTTTCAGTGTGCTTGCTCTTTACATTTATACTGAAATTAGTTATGTGTTTCCAATTAGTGGGTCGTGTTTAGTAAGACCATCAGGTTTGACTTCATGCCTCAGCCATTTTAAGACTTAGTCTTATATAGTTTAGAGGCACTCATTACGTCTTTCGCACCTGTCTCTTCGTCATTGCTTCGTTTATTATGCAGTAATTTGCAAATGGCTAGTATTGAACGATCCATATTTTGGTGTTCTGATTTGTATTATGGGAAATCAGCTTAGTTATGTGTTACAAATATGTTTTTTGCAGGGAAATTTTGGGTTATGGCAGGCAAATGGTTCGACCAAGCTGGAGGACCTTCCCATATTGCGAGAGCTGAGGATGTCTTTGCAGCAGAGACATATGAAAAGAAGCGTTTGGTTTTAATGAAGTGTGCTGTCGTCCATTGTCACGAACCTGTTTACTCCATTCATGTTTCTCCATTGCATCTGTTTTTGGGCGAGAACAAGGGTGTACGCGTGTGGTCATTGCGGCCCTTGATAAAACCTGGGTCTCACGGAAGGAGCTGTGGTAAATTTAAGTCCATGCCTCAAGGAACTTCTGAACAGGATTCTTATCAGTCCAGTAAAAAGCTTGATTGCGAGACATGCGTGCGTATTGAACGTTGTCAACATGTTACGGAGTCTGGCAATGCGCTAGGAAAAATTGATGTGAAGAAGGGTGCTGGATGTGGGGCTCTGTTGGAGGAGAACATGGACGCGAGGGACAACATGGAGGATATAGCAATGGAGAAACTATTGAGGGGCTTGTATGGTACTCGGGAACTTAATGTTGGTACCAGTGTTTCTGGATTTCGAACTCAACGCAAGTCAAACGTTAGCTCCAGATCATATTTACAAGTTAACAATTTCAGAAGCTTGTCCGAGCTTCAATCAGCTCTCAAAATCGACATAGGTTTGGACAATTCATCTGCTGAGGACGACATTGCTGCGAAAACGACGATGGAGAATGGTGAGTTTTCTTTCAATTTTCTATGAGGATTTTCTTGTAGTCTGCCATACGTTCAATCTGTAGGTTTTCAGATGTTTGCGCATGACTCCTTAAGAACCATGGTTTTCTGACGAAAGTTTCAATTGCTTGTACATATAAGATTCCATTCGTTCCTTTCTCATACTTCTCGAAGTTTTAGTTCCTTAGAGATGTGTACTTACTCTTATGTATCCCAAGTAGTTTTTTTGGGTATTCTTTTTACGTGTTAGGTAGGTGTATCAAGTTGCTTCTTGTTGATGTTAAGAAATAAGTTGACGAGTTTCAGGGGGAGGAGGTTTGATTAAGAATGAGGCTCAAAATGGTGTATTATTAAGCTACCCAGTTGAGCATGGCGATATTTCATTCAAGGAGAAAATAAATGTCAGAAAGTTACATGGAACTCAGGGGAATGTAATTACCTCAAGTGCCGAAGCGGTTCGCTCTGACTGTAAGTTTCTCTTAATTCAGATCCATTTCCATTGTTTTGCTGAGGTAAAGTCGTTAAGAATTGTGGGTGTACTCACTTCTTCCAACATTTATGGACAGATTGTAATGGTGACCATCCCTTAAAGATTGCTCCACGACCAAGGAACGGATTTATATCAGTTTCAGAATCACCGCTAGAGGCTCAGCCTGTGGCCTCTCTTTCGGCGAAGAAAATGATTGTACAGCAGTCTGGTGCAACAGTACATGGGACGGACACCAGAGTGCAAAGTAGGATGAATTTAAAGGAACCGGATTCCGCTGGCGTTTGGTTTGTTGATTTCAGTGGTACAGAGGGAATTGCTACTGCACAAGGCACCTCACATGCTGGCCCTAAATTATCTCCTAAACTCCAAGTAGTTGATATTCAAGCATTTAGTCCGAAGGAGTACATTGCCTTGGATTCAAAAGGGGCACTACACTTGCTTACTTTGAATGAAGTGACAGAAGCACAGAAAACTGAAGATCCGGGGAGATCGTTTGTGACTGTTACGCATCTCCACAGCACAATGCGTGTGTCCTCCTTCGCAGTGCTTCCCTTGCCTCCGACCCTGCCTCAGGTTCATCGAGATTTCTTCTCTCCAGCTGCAGCCACAGGTAGCTTTTATTTTATTTTTGGTTTTTGTATCCTGAGTAGATCCTACACGTGGAGTAATATGCTACGGTTAGTGACAGTCCAATACTGAGCATTTGCATCTTGTTCGATTTGCAATGGTCTGTTCTACTTCTTCATGTTTTAGCTCATTGTTTCTCATGAACCTGATATATTCTTTACTTTTGTATTCCTGTTCTATTTTTTTATGTTTTTTCCCTCCTTCGCTGAACCGAATGCTGAAGAAATGTAGTACTGTTAGCAGATCAATTTCAGCTTTAGGCAATTTCAGGACGGTTTTTCTGTTTTTGAGAATTCATAAGTTTCATGTTCGTTTCTGCTTGTTTAAACGGTTGAACTTGTCGATAGTACAAGCTTCAATGACTTGTTGATATTTTTTCGTGATTCCTGGCAGTAAGAAGGAAGCTGTGGATCTGTGATGGAATGTACTCCGTACATGTTGTCATCTTTCCTGAAGAAAAATCTAAAGCCAGTATTGATTTTGCTGCAACAGAGGCCACTCTTGCAGGTAGGCAAAGTAGATGAGGTAGCATTCTAGAGGTTTGTTTTAGAGTAAAGTAGTTCTGTGTTTTTTTTCACATGGTTCTGGAAATTTTCATAAGGTTAGTTAGCCTTCATAATCAACAAACCCTCTCATAGCTGTGCTGTCTAGGTCCATGAAAATTGCGGTACTCAAATGCCTCAGCCATCTTAAATGTGTATAGTTTTACGTCATGAGGTTACTTTTTTTCTGCACAACCGTATTAGCAACTTCAGGTGAAGACTCTAGTACCTACGTGCGAACATTTTGGAGACAAGATCAGTACCTTCTGAATTTTCATACTTTTGTTAGGATTCCTCCCATCGTCATTAGGCATTGATGTTTACTGGCTTTACGTTCTGTCAATCTACGTGTAGGCTAGGTTTAAGAGGTGACGAAATTGGGGTGGATGTCGCATTTAGTTACCTTTACCTTATGTTAAGTATTCTCTTCGTCATTCGAGTTGTTAAGCATTGCAACCTGAAGTCCATCTGAATGCTATGAAAATTTGGATGAAGTTTTCTTGATGCTCGAGTGTTTCTGTGCAGTGTCACAAGCAGTCTTCATGAGAGATCGGGTTGATGACCTTGTTGTTGGATCTCTAGATACTGTTTTGGTCCTGATGAAAGGTACCCTGTCATTATCAGAGGTTGTGGGTCTATGTTTGTTGCTTCAACTATTCGAACGTAACTGCTTGATATCACCTTTTATGTTGATCCTCTTCATCGTGCGCAATCAAAGAGATGTGATAGACCACACTAAATAGCATGTAGTAGTGTATATTAGGGATACGATTTTGGAAGTATGTGTTCATGCATGGACCTTAATTAAGAAAATACTGAACCAGTCACTAAATTGTTCAAGAACTATCCTGTTACTAGGTGATGCATGCCGTATTATACTGTTCCCTTTTGTTTTAAACTTTTTCCACTATGAGTGTTGGTAATCTCACTATGCTTTTTATCCTGGATGTGATGCAGGAAAGCTCTTCTCATATGTGATGCCAGCAAGTTAACAGATCATGATAGTATTCAAAATCTATCAGGTGAGTAGTGACTTCACAATTATTTGGCTCTTTTCCTCTGTTGGATTCCAAATTGACATGCGACTTTCCTTAGGGATTAAAAAATGTCAGTGTAATGATACAACAGTATGATAATGTTATATCCCAGACAGGGACTTGTACGTAGTTAAATTGAATGTTCGTCGTTCCTTAATCAACTGCGATGTTATCTCTACTTTTGGTAGTATTTTCAAAATTTGGAAAGAGGGATCAGGTTTGTTTCATTAAGTGTTGAATCCATAATGATAGCCGTGACCAAGTGTACGTCTTTCCAGTGAATGTAGGTGTACATAATTGGTTATTTCTTTCAGTTTTTTTCTTGCAACCAGTTTTAGTATGTTTAGTTGACACAAGTGAAAAAGTAAGCAGAAGAGTGTGTCTAGTCCTTGAGTCCTGATTGTTTCATTGACATTGAGACTAAGGCCGGAATGTATTTTTTGACTTTTGTGCAGAGAAACCTGTATCAAAGATGGATGATAACAAGGCGCATTCTATTCCGAGAAGGGCTCAGAGATTGATAAGGCCTTTTGTTGTCCAGTTGTGGATTGCTGAGAGACGTGTTTCTCCACTAGCTGTGGCTTTTTTGGCTTTGGGTGAGTAATGGTGATGGATTGGAATGTTACATTGCTAGGCTATTCTCTACACAGAAGGCCGTAAGCAACAAGATGTACGAGCTACCTCCCATAACATCTCGGAACCTTACTAAGATGACATAAACTTGCTAGGAATGGGAGTAGACGTTTGTGCGAATGTGAACATTTTAGTGGAGATGTACTCATCCCCGAGTCTATCCTTGGAGAGAAGCATGATGGCAGTTGCGGAATTTGTGCATGCAGGTTGACGAGTCCCTGAGTTCACGCAGACATCTTGCCAGGGGACTGTGAAGCTGAGGAGCATGACATTTCCTCTTGTACCTCTTCATCGTTAATCAAATACTTGCTCACCACTTTTCCACGTGTTTGCAAGCTACATGGTAAGAACTGCATCTATTCTCCAGAGTAAATATGGTAGTGTCATGTTTGATCTTTTTGGCTGTGGAATAGCTAAAGGCTGTGCACTAGTTATTTCCAGACACTATGTGCCAGCAATGTTGTTAAATGTTGCGATTCTGAACAGTGACTTGATGACTTCGAACCAGCCCATGTGTTTTAGTATGGATGTCTGATTTCATCTGATTGCATAATATAGTTCATAATGGCTTGCAAGTGATGCAATGGTTGTTGTGCATGAACAGAGGAAAGCCAAGAGGAGATGCATGCCATTCAGGAGCTATAACAATGGAGCTACAACTCGAGTTCAAAAATCTTGAGTGCAACTCTTGACGGATGTTCATTCTGGCTCGAAAAAACATCACAGAACAAATAAAAGTATAGTTGTCAAGTAGGCGTTAGTATAAGGTGTTGTAGTTGTTAGATCGATGACGAGCTATTTTGTCACACCCTGTTCTTTTCGGTAGTAGAGCAGGGTCATGCTGTTAGAACTACCAGGTTGTCATCTCCTTGGCGCTTATTAGTTAAATCTTTGAAAATTGTCTTGGCCTTGCACAGATTGTTATTTTTTTTTGCCGAATGGACTTTTTCGAGTTGTTTGCTTGGTTTGTTCGAGTTTGCAACACTTGAACACACATGCATGGCAGAATGGGCGTGCGGAGGAGTACTGAGTGTTTTCTTGCTTGGAGTCTTGGTTACATTAAGAAAGAGATAGCTTATATTTCTTTTCGGACTCTTTTGTTAGTACCTAAAGACTTCTGTTCGTTGATTTCTGAGATGTGATAAATGTGTACTCAAGGCCGTAGGCACATTCGCCCGTGGAACTCATTCCGACAGGAATTTACCGCAGAATCTGCTGCTCACCCATGCTAGTGCACATGAAATGGTCACTATGTTTAAATTGTTATTGTTGTGGTGACTCGTTAGTTTCGGGTTCTGTAATCCTAATAATCAACCATATTTTTTCTTACAGTTTTTCGTGTAACATTAAATTCATTTCTAGACTTCAACCTCCGTAATCCCGCATCCTCAACATCCATGTATTGGAAATGTAATCATTGCCTCCATTCTTCACAAGTTGCAATCCCCATCCTTGCCACTTGCATCGCGTTTTTTAGGAGTGCATTGTAACCCATGACATGGTGTGCATTTCGCACTTTGAGGATTATGTATTTCATGTAATCTTTTTTCGAAAACCACATTCAGTATTAATTTAAGAATAAAATACATCGAAATCATTTAAAGGTGAACAGCAACAATGTAAGTTATTTACTTATTTCGTATACTAAATGCTTTTTATGATTCAAGATCATCCATTGAGGAATTAATTAACTAAAAAATCAACAGCAACAAAACAAACACAAAATCGATTATTTCAGTACCAAAAAAGTTATTTTATTCTTTGAGGCTAATGTTGATATAGTAAAACTGAAAAATGATGACTGTCCATCATGTATTTACCATCCGTGTGACACGAAGCCAATGCCCCTTCAGGCCATGTCCAAACGAAGTCCCCTTGACTGACTGCTAACCTCTTGCTAACTTCAAATTGGCTCAGCTGTTCACAACTATGAATGTCTCTGCAATGAACAAATGAATATATATATATATATATATATATATATATTTAAAAATTTTAATTGACAGAGCCTTCTAAAAAGATACTCCACTAGCTCAATCTGTCTCTTTATACAGGGAAACTGACTGACCCAGTACATTGCCTTTGGACTTTTTCGAATATTCTCCACACACACACACACATATATTCACACACACACACACACACACACATATGTATATGTAAATATATATATATATATATATATATATATAATTCTTATCAGTGCAGTTTCAATAGAACCCACAACAGGACCCAGAGAGCCCTGTGATCATTGGATTCTGCCCCTTTCGACCAAGTGGGGCGGGGTCCAACGCTGAAGGCCGGCCTCCCAGGTCCAGGAGAACGATTCTGCACGGAATCCAGGGCTTCCCGACGAGAGAGGGAGAGATGGAGAGAGAGTGAAGCCCTGGTGGATTCTAGCATTGGTCCAAAGTGGATGAGGCTCCCCTCCTTCACAGGTGTCAGTCACCAGCCGGCCCCATGCATGTCCACCTCCACATACATCCATACATCCTCCATCATTCCTTCAACAACTGCCCCGTTCTGCCCGTTCTGCCCGTTCTGCCCGTTTCGACTCTGGCACGGAAGAAAAAAGGCATCTAAGAAGAGGGCATGGCCTTTGTACTACTATACTATCAATATCTGCTAAAACTGGCTCGCTCCCCGAGGCAACTTGTATTAAAATTATGGGGCAGCCTTTGTGGATGGATGAAAACAACGTTCCCGAGTGGAGTACGACTACGAGGGGCTCCGTGAGGAACAGCCCCGTTCCCAACTGCTCCCGTGGCATCCTCATCCGAAGCCCAGTCAACAGCCAGCTCGTTGGCCATTGGCCGGCGCGGGTATAAGACCCGAATAGATCGTGGGGGAAGTACCGCAACCAATCGCGCGTGAGTCGGTCATAGGAGGTCTAGGCTATAGTGGCTGCTTACGTGTACTCTGCACGGTGGTGGGTCCCGAAGTTTCCTGCCTATAGGCGGGCAAAAGCACTTGCCCAATTGGATTCTATTCATGCAATATATTATATTTATATCTATTTTTGTTTGTATCGTAATTTCTTGCCATAATCAAGTGATGTGAATGGTCTGAAATACTGGAGGATGACGAAAAAAGCCCCACGAAAAGTAGCTCCGGGACTTTCTGTGTGGTTTCAATTTTATTTTTTGAACGTTTTTTTGACTGAAATGAAAACAACATAAATATATATATATATATATATATATATATGTTCGTATTTTATCGACCTTTTGATGGTCAAATAATTGTGCTATTTCTATCTCGGGAATAGGTTATGATTAACGTTTTTATTCATCGCCTTAAGACAGTTTGTAAGTGTTGCAGAAACATTTATGGGTTTTACATTTAAACAGCAAAATGTATGTTTTGGCTTCTAACATCCAATCTTTACATGTCATGAAGAATAGAAAGTTTAAAACATAGAAGTGGATCAATCAAGATTATTTTGTTTGAAACAATTGTATCTTTCTTTTTCTTTTTCTTTTTTTTAAGGTATTATAAACTTATCTTGATTTTACTATTGATTTAAAAATGTATGGATATTGGGTATCTAACGGTTGCTATTTTCTTACGAATTCTTACATTCATTTATTTTTTCTAAAATTATAATGTGTTATAACATTGCAAGATATTCCATAGATTAGATTTAGTCCTGATTTTTTTTTTTTTTTTTTTTTTTTTTTTTTCATGGATACTTTTTACTGATATTGAAATTTGAATATTATCCTTTACAATACAGTTTTCAAATATAATTATTAAGTATAATTGATATTTTTAAATACAATTGTTGTAAATACCAAAAAAACAAAGAAGTTAAATTTTATCCTTTATTGATTTCTTTTATTTTTGCATTTGTTCCAGAAGCAATTCATACAAATTTACAACAACAAAATTTAAAATGTACATAGTGCATAAACCTGATCTTTCAAATTTCACAATTGCTACTGTAAATAGATTTAAAGAGATTATTTTAGGATACCGCTAGGCAGACACCCCCATTTTCCTGCATAAACACTCCCCGTGCTACACCAACAATACATTATTGTTACAATTTTTTTAACAAGATAGAAACTAATGAAGTAGAAAGGTACGAAAGCATTAACGAAAATATATTTATATATATATATATATATATATATAAAACAACAACAACAACAACAACCCACAACACACAAACATCAGCAGCATAGAAATTAAACAAAGTGAAAAAAAAATAAAACGAGGTGTCTACCTAAAAAACACCCCTTTTTTTAGGGTTAGGTAGACACCTTCCTTTTTAAAATTTACCTTGTTTAGCTCACATGTTGCTGTTATTTCTATTTTGTAGATTGTTGCTGTTTTTTGTTACTATTTTTATTCTTTTATGCCTCATTACTGCCCAACTTGTTGAAAAACTTGTAGCGTTGGTGTGATACAAGAGATGTCCACGTGCTAAAAGGGGGATGTTCACCTCGTGGTTTCCTTATTGTATTTTGATATTAGTTTCCATTGCCATTATGTATCATATTGTATGAAAATTCTACTTATTTGATACTGGTTTATAGACTTTTATTTCTATGTCATGATGTTTTTTCAAAACAATATTTTTATGCTGCTAAATATTAAAATAATAATAATTAGTGAATTCCTTATTTACTTTTGTCTTCTTTTGTTGTTGTTTACTGCTGTTCATTTTTTTGTGTTGCTTAAGTTTTTTTGGATTTAAGTAATAATAATATTCAAGTTAAATATAATATGAAAATCATATCCTAAAATAATGAATGTTAGTTCTGAATAGTTTTAAAGAGCAAACCAAAAAAAATAAAAATAAAATAAAATAAATGAAAACGAATTTTGTCCATGCTCTATTATTGTTTTTGTTTCAAATGTTTCTTCAACATAATGAATCAGAAAATATGAAAATTTTATACTATTACAGTGTTATGCCTTTCTAGATAATCCTAAGTAGAAAAGCACAGGAAACGATAAAAAAGAAAAATGCAGAATTAAAGTGAAGATAATTGACCGCATTTTAAGCAACCATATAATATAGCTTAAACTACCAAACGTGAATACTAAATTAAAAAGTTAGCAAATCTTACTCTAATTTAGAGGACTATGGCCAAATTTTTTTAAGTGGAAGCTTTTGATGCAGAATATATTTATTTTAAAATTACTGTAATAAAATTTTCATCATTGTGATTCAAAAACTGTAGAAAATATACTATACATCTGTTCTTATGTATAAATATATCATTAAAAACAATTGTAGTGATAGAACATAAACAATGACTTTCCTACAATTTCTACATGTAATAGCCATTGTGTTGAAGGTGATTACTTTAATAATGTGTTCCATTGAAACATAAAGAAAATGTACCTTGGTTCTTGTGAACATACATACATACATACATGTATGAAAGAACTATTGAAAGAATTATTTACATACAATACCATAGATTTGAATGACCTATAATAAAATAAAAGTATTAAAAAAATAAAAAAAGGTTTGGAGTAAATATATACATAGCTATATCCATGTTTCTATAAAAATAGCAAAAAAAAAAATGATCTTGTACAGAAACATCTCAACTAGATAAACAAATCCTATTGGTTCAAGTACATGGCTACACCTCAATAACTAAGACATTTCTTATTGATAAAGCTGTTGAAATAGTAGTGAGTAAATACTGAGTTTAATCCCAGATTATAAGACATTTGTTGTTCATTCTCCCAAAACATCAAATATATGTTAAGTAAATGGAATTTAACAATATTTAAAATCAAGTTCATATTGATCTTTTACATTGACAAAGCTTCTAAGCATACACATGGGCAGAAAGGAAAACCATCACCAAGGTTGACATATGTGTACATAAATAATAATAATAATAATATAAAATTATTATCATTGTTACTCAATTTTTCAGATTTCAAAAACGGAAATGAATCCAAATTAAATTAAATTAAATTAAACTTGGATATAAAATTACTTGTGAGTAATGTTGTATTTGTTTATATATATTGTTAGTTAGTTAGTCAAAAATATCTACAACAAAATCATGGAACATTAATAAATGTAAACCCTTTATATTGAAATTCCACAAAAACACAAATTTGAATTCGGACTCTTTGCTTTCATTGATGAATTTTGTTGTATTATGGACATACATGTATTTTATACACATATTTTATATCATCTGGTAATGCAGTATGTAGTACCAAAATACTTCAATATTGTTAAATTTTTTTAATTTGACAGACAAATGACTTTTTACTTAGGAAATATTATGCAGTAAGTAGCCACTTGAATTCTAACTGATCGATTGAAGATAGATAAGTTTTATTTTATTTTATTTTTATTTAATTTTTCAAACCAAATTCAATACTTATTTTAGAAATATTAATCAACTACAAAAAATGCTTACTAATCCTGATTCATATTTGTTAATGATAAATCACTTCATGTGACAAAATTATTGTAGATTATTTCATATGTATATATGCATAAATACATGTACACACATTTAAAAGTAAATATATAAAATACAAGTATATGTCTCACAGCTGTTTGAATAAAAAGAGACATGCATAGAACCAAAATAACATTCTATTTTCATAACGTGCATTGAAGGTTTAAAAATATATATGGGTTAAACATTAATTTACACATTACTATATATATATACCATTATTAGTCTGTTTTAGCAGATTTTATTAACAACCTAGTCCAAGTTGTTTTTATTGCTCTGATATATTTCGTAAAAGAAATCAACAATTTTTTTACCTTTAAACTAACAAGTACAAATAGTTTCTAGTGAAGTAACATTTATTTCATTCTAATTATCACTGAAGAGAACGTTAATTGTGTTTTCGAGTTAGTGCAAACTAGTAGAAACATGTGTGGGTGAGACTGAAAATAGTTCTAAAAAACCTCAAGTTAATCTCCCAATGTGAAGGCTTCTCCCATGAATGATAATCAGTAATCAATGTCCATGAAATGGAATTTAATAATTTAGTCAAGTGAATAATTGCTTTGTACCCTTTGATATCTTTATCTTTTTCAATGGATGTTTCTCAACATGTAATTTTTCCTCCTTTCTTTCTTCCTTCCCTCCTTAAGGAGGGATTTGCCACAAATAAACGATGGGAACCCATCACCGGGAACAGAAGCTCTCATCAATGGGAACAGAAGTTCCCAAAATAGAGAAAGGGCGAAGAAAAAAGGGGTAGCAGTCCATCTTCCAACGAAAGCTGACTTGATGCGAAGTCATCAATTGGATGAGTATGAAGAAGGAAGGCCCAGCGGGCCGGGTGGAAGAACCCTGCCCGTCCACTTCTGCACACACACACCCAGGCAGGCAGTCAGTCTGCACGCCCTCCTCCTCATCCATCTCGTTCTCCGGGAACACAAGAGCAACTTGGGAACGATGGGGGAACGATGGGGGAGCGATGGGGGAACGATGGGGGAACGATGGGGGAGCGATGGGGGAACGATGGGGGAACGATGGGGGAACGATGGGGGAACGATGACGACCTTTTCGGGAGGGAGAATGATGACTGACACAAGTAAAGAGTCCGTCCCACGACTTGGTGACCGGCTTTAGGTGGTCATTCCCCGGTCACCCTATCCTGTTCCTTCTCTTTCTATTTTTCTCTTCCGTCCCTCGCTTCGCCTTGTTGGCGAATCCGTCTTCGACTTTGCTTCAGCACGCGCGCGTTGTGGTCGATCTCTCGCTGGAGCAACAGGTTGTCTTGTCGCTGCCATTGCTGTACGTCCTATTGGCTATCATGCGCCACTTCTGCTGTTCTTTTTAAGCTTATGTTGAGGTTTTTTAAGCATGTTTTGAGGAAGATAGCATAAGTCGATTAAGTGCGGTGCTCGCCTCGGTTGTTTTTTTCTTTTTTCTGTCGATCTGGTAGCAATTCTTGTGATTAAAGTGGATGGCGTCTTAGGGCTGGGCGTTCGTGAGCTTCAGTTGAGGTTTGATCGCGCATTGTTGGGGAGGTTCGCTAGTCTGCAGCCGTGTGCAGAGTCAGTATCTTGTGCGGAGCAAGTGTAGGTTGTATTTCGCTCTGTTGGTTATATTCATATTTATTTGTTTATTTATTTTTCTTTTTAAAATTTATGTTCTTCGTGTGTGCGTGTGCGTGGTTCCGTCTTCTTCTTCCCCCTCTCTCTTTTTTTTTTTTTTTTTTTTTTTTTTTTTTGATTTTCTTTGGTTCTTTGCTCTTCTTGGTTTGATCTTTGGAGAGGTGCTACAGCTATGGAAACAAAATTTTAGGAACGAAAAGAGCGGACAGCAGAGACTGATGTGATGTTGGTATCACTAAGTCTCTTCGCATCCTTAAAGCAAGAGGTGAAAGACCATGTCGCTGCAGTGACTTTATCCTTGGACTTTGGAACGAGACTCTCAGATTTTAGTGCATCATTTACTGTTGGTGAAGAATATTGATTTTCTCAAGAAGAGGGAGGTTCTCAGTGAGGTTGTGCCCGCAGAAAGTTTGCTCACTGTTAGTTTCTTGCTTTGCATATTTTCCTTTACTACCACAGGGATGCGTACAGATCTTATGTTTGCGATCGAAAGGCTCCTATAATCGACGTAACTACACACCTATGACTTATTTTATTCGTCCATCTTCATATCTGCACCGCAGACATGCAGATTGAAGCCATGCTTTGTCCTACAGCATATGATTAGTCGTCCGACTTCATTCAATACATGGACGTTCATAAATTCTCTCTCTCTCTCTCTCTCTCTCTCTCTCTCTCTATATATATATATATATATATATATACATACATATATGTGGATGCACGCATTCACACCTCATGTACTGTGCTTGTTTCTACGCGAATCTTAGTGAGTTTTCCAACTGCCTGTCATGCTATCTTATGAAGAGTACCTCTGACATGTGCGTTTCTCTTCTGCGTGTGGAAAGCAGAAAGCCATTCTTACTTCTAGCACTTCTCGGAGGTTATTGATTTCTCGCAAATTGCTCTTCCACCTGCCCTCTTTCGTGAGGGAGTTCGAAGCTGAAAAGTAATGAGCTGAAGATTAAGGTCTTTTACGAGTGAACAGCGAGCACACAGCTAGCAACTCTTTCGGAGAATACTCCAGGCGAAATTGGTCGGATGGCCGATAGCTACGGTCACAACGCAGGTTCACCAGAGAGCAGCCCGCATTCTGATAACGAGTCCGGGGGTCATTACCGAGACCAGGATGCTTCTGTACGGGAACAGGATCGGTTCCTGCCCATCGCGAACGTGAGCCGAATCATGAAGAAGGCGTTGCCGTCTAATGCAAAAATTTCGAAGGACGCGAAAGAGACTGTGCAGGAGTGTGTGTCCGAGTTCATCAGCTTCATCACTGGTACATGAGTGAATCGCACTTGACTTTTTTGGAATGTGGAAAATGAATTTAAGAACGAGGTGTCCAATGTCCTACATTACTGACATTGAAGACGATGAGGAACGCCTGCCGTTTCGCGTGCAGGTTAAGATAATGAGATATTTGCTGGGACATTTTCTGCCAGCAGCGTGAGCGATTTTTAGCATGCAATGTTCTCTTAAACATTGAATTTCTTTCAGACTGAAATCGGAAGTGTCCCTCAAGACTAGCCTGTGCGTGCAGAACAGAGCTTAAATTCATTTACACCCGACTAGTAATCCATGCAGCTTTTGCTGGCCTTTCGAATACTGGACGTGCTTAATTTGTTTCGTTTGTATCGGTGGTTTGGTTGAAGTGGAATCTGACTGTTGCTAGCACTACAGGTGAGGCGTCAGATAAGTGCCAGAGGGAGAAGAGAAAGACGATCAACGGTGACGACTTGCTGTGGGCCATGAGTACACTTGGTTTCGAAGATTACGTGGAGCCTCTGAAGGTTTACCTACACAAATACCGGGAGCTAGAGGGAGAGAAGGCTTCCACGGCCAAGGGTGGTGACCAGCAAGGAGGGAAAGAAGGGAGTCAAGGTGTTATGGGGTCCATGGGTATGTCGGGCGGAATGAACGGTATGAACGGTACGATGAACGGGAATATGCATGGACATGGAATCCCGGTGTCGATGCAGATGCTGCAGCAGTCGTACGGACAGCAGGCACCTCCAGGGATGATGTATTCCCCTCATCAGATGATGCCGCAATACCAGATGCCAATGCAGTCTGGTGGAAACCAGCCTCGTGGAGTGTAGGAGGTTCCACGGCGAGGAGAATTTGAAATTGGGGAGATTGTCAACCGCGTGAGGGAGTGTTGTGGAGCATGACGGGCACCTTAATTATGGTGCTGTTGGAAGAGTGACGAGTGGGTCATGTGAAGTGTTGGCGACTGTAGGATGATGGAAGAAAAGAAGAAATGCCGTTGAAGCTCGTGGGGTTTGAGTTGTGAGGAGGAGCACTATTCGTTTGGCAAGGAGCGTACAGGTTTTGGTGGTGTTTGTTCTGATTGATAGTTATTTGCGCTGATTTTTGCTTGGCCTCGGCATCAAGAGGGAAGCGAAAATTTTGCTTTGAATTCGTTGACACTTCAACCTTTTCCGTGTGAAAAGGCTCTGTAGGATGGAAAAAAAGGAAAGACATGTAGAATGAAGGGGATTGATTTGTACCATGTATGTGGAAGTGTGGGCTTTCAAAAAATATATTTAGGTTTTAAACTTGTGGGGAGGGAGTATATGAGACGGCAGGAATAGAGACTGTCCTTTGTTGTTGATGGAGAGGATAGATCTCGCTGGTGGGGATCTTTCGTATTCAGAGGTCAGCACCAAATGTGATTATAATTGAGCTCTGTACAAGACATTGAACAGCTTCCAGTGCAGTTGACATGAATCATCCTTAACTATTTGTCAATTTATGAAGGACCTGAATTTGATCTGTGTCTTGTATTGGTGTCGTGATGGGGTAGTCGCATCTTGTCTTCAAATTGATATTTCACCTCAATGAAAGGCTTAGGTGGTTGTCTAATTTAGTTTTGTAATAAGTTGCTATGCGTTTGATCATTGTCTTTGATCATCAGAATACGGTAGCCTTGAATTGTGTAGCTGTGTGTGCAATGACCTTCAGGTATACGGATCTTTCAGTGTAGAGTGCGTGTATGTACATACAGATAACAGTTTAAACATGGTATAAACTATTTTCATTCTATGTGTATTAAATAGAAAATGTTGAAATAAATAAAGTATTTTGTAAATGATATGGTACTGATAATGGACAATTTTAAAGGTCAAGATCAATTGGATAGAAGTAATGGTGCATCTTATTCTAAATTCTAGTTCTAAGTTTCATTATGTCTATAAAATGCATATTGTTTTATAATTTAAGTTGAAAATGGCTAACAAAGATTTCTGCAATTTATACATCACTGTTTTAAGTTTTATATGCATTTGTAGTGATGTTATAAAAATGTTTTAATAATTCTAGCAGCTCATTTGGTAAAATTTTAGTAATCTAATAACCTATATTAAATTCAAGTTTGGTAATTCAAAGTTCATTTGCAAATGAAAAAGGTTGCAATATAAATAATTAAAATATTCTTAATCTAATATTGTCATTGAGAACACAAAGGGGATGTTTTCAAAATTTTAATTAAAAAATAAATATCTTTTAATTAGTATAAAATGAATAGTTATTTATTATTTCACATAAAGTGAGTGTATATATATATATATATATATATACTCATCTATACATACACAAATATATCTTAATTATTTAATAACTCTTGCCTAATATTCCTTGTTTACTTAATAATATTTGTTGGAACAGAGGTTGTTCTCAAGCCATAAACTTATAACCTTATTATTTGCATAAGTTATTTAAAAAATAAAATTTTACAATTGACGTGAAAATTATATAGCCTTTAATGCTAATGATGCTTGCTATATTTTGCAAAAGTATTGGTTGATAGTCGAGTTCTTTAGTGACTTGTACATTGCACAAATCTAAAGTATTATATGGCAGATTTAGGAGAAACTCCAGAGACATCTTCTTGAAGTTCTCTATGATGTTATTGAATTCTCTACTCTTATTTTACTTAGTTGCAACATTGAGCAGCCCCATATGATTCCAATGATCCAAAGATATTTCATCCCATGTCTAACACATTAATCTTGTACGGAATGTTAGTTCCATTCTTGGATTCATCAAGAAAAAAATACTTTGAATTCACTAATAACATTGTTCAAATGCAACAATAATTTCCATATATCCATATATTTAAAATTATAAATATTCATCGAATCAATTAAAAAATCATATTTACTTTAGATAGTCTATATTTTAAATGTTTATTATTATTTATTATTTATATTTCAAAAAGTATACACAAGAAAAAGACATGCAGCAACTATCCACGCAAGACTAGATATTTAGTCTTATGTGGCTTACAACTCTCTAACTTGATTTAATCTTTAATATAAGAACTTATCCCTATTCCTGTTTGATGTTGCACAAGGCTGCTAATTGCTACATCTTCACCCTCAGGTTCACACAACCCTAACTTCTTACTCACTAGGCTTCCGTGGTTGAGTTGTATTGTTGCTTTTAATGAGCAAGAACATGACCTTCGAATCTATTTGATTACTATGAACTTGAAAGCATGACTTGGAAGGCATATGCACTGCCGCTAAAACAAGTATACCTACTTGGTTCAAATTTTATCATTCACAATTATTGAAGAAAAGAAGTCTAAAAGCTACAAACACTTAGCATCAGCAAGGATTATAGTCTAAGAGAAGTGTGGAGAAAGATAATTCTTACTTCCAACACTCTTTACTTATAGGTGGTGGTTTCTTCACCAACGAGGCAACTTCCATCCTTTTGACATTACATCCATTTCTACCTCATCTAACTAAATCCTTGATGCCACCACAATAACTTACTTTAATTCTTTGCTACTTTTTTACTATTAGCAATATACTATGCTTAACTTCTATGTGGTTGTAACTAAGCAAGTACTTGCTGATCTTCAATACTCCCACTTTGCTAATAATCAAAAGGCTTTTAATCCTAATCTCTTAATCAAGTCATGATGTCTATCCTTCACTAATGCCTTTGTAAGCACATCAACAAGCATGTCATTTGTGGCACAATACTTCAAACCTATTAACCATCTTCAATCTTCTCTCGTATGAAATAATGTTGAACATCAATGTACTTGGTCGTTGAGTGATGTTTTGGATTCTTGGCAATTCCCATATACCATTGTCTATAAGAGATTGATACTCTTCTTCTATAGCCTTCTCCCACTTAAATACATCTTCATACTTCATACCATTACACAAAGATAATGGATCAGCAAGAAGAGCAATATTTGCATGTTCTTTACTTTGATGAAGGATGTGATCCTTCCACCATTCGCCACGTTGCTTTCTTTCTCTCAAAGGATATCTCCTTTCACATGTAGAAGAACATTTGCCTTCTTGCACTCCTTTTTCTTTTCCAACTCTTAAACCTTGTCGTCTTTCACTCAATGGTTGGTATTCTTCATCATTATCATTATCCCAATCTTCAACATCTTCATTTCTTTCATTTCTAGTCTTAGCAATTGTAAGAGCCTTCATCTTTTCAACCTTCTTTGGCTTTTCATCTTCATTGTCTTCATCTTCTTGTTTCTTTGCTGAATTCAAAGATGTGTCCACAAACACACCATTACTTCCACTTGGACACATCTCCAAGTGCTCATAAGCACTCTTGTGCTCCAAAAACTCAACATCACGACTTTTGATGATCTTCTTGGTTTCCAAGCACATTAGCCTATATGCCTTAGTACCTTCATAATAACCAAGAAACATACACTTTGTACCTTTTGTATCAAGTTTGGACCTCATACAATCTGGTGTTTTTGCATATGCAATGTAATCAAAGGTCTTCATATAGGAAATACAAGGTTGTCTCCTACTCCAAGTTTCTTGTGGTGTCATTGATGCAAGTGTACTTGTTCGATACCTATTTCTTGTATACACTACATTCACCACAGCTTCCGCCCAAAATTCATAACTAAGGTTTTGAGCATGAAACATGCTCCTTGCCATCTCTACAATGGTTTGATTTGCCCTTTCAGCAACACCATTTTGTTGTGGAGTGTATGGAATTGTGGTTTGTCTAGCAATTCCTTCATTCTTCAAATAAACATCAAATTGCTTAGACATATACTCACCTCTATTGTCCGTATGTAGCACCTTGAACTTGCATTCACTTTGGTTCTTAACAAATGCTTTAAACTCCTAAAACCTCCAAAACCATTCACTCTTGGCTTTAAGAATGTAGATCCAAATCTTTCTTGAATAATCATCAATGAAAGTAAGAAAATACCTTGATCCTCTAATACTTATATTCTTCATAGGTCCACATACATCAGAATGGACAATCTCCAGCAACTTGGTAGCACATGTTGCTACATTCTTTGGAAATGAGGCCTTTTGTTGTTTGGCTTGTATGCATCCTTCACATGCAAGTTGTTTTGTATTATGGCTTGTATTGCCAAGATCTAAGCTAGTTACCATGGTCTTGAGCTCTCTCACGCTCTTCACATTCAAATGGCCAAGGCGACAATGCCATATATTCAACTTGTCTTGGTTTGATGTAAATTTATTAAATGCGACTACTTCCACTCCATTCACCTTCTTACAAATGAGGTAGTACAAATTTCCTTCTTTTAAGCCTTTGAAGACCTTGTCTCCATTCAATGTTCTTACAAAACATCCATTCTTGTCAAATTAAACTTTAAAATCTTTTATTATAAGTTTACTCACCGAAAATAGATTTTGCTTCATCTTAGGCACATGAAAGTCGTTTTTGAATCTGATCCTATTGGTTTGTCCATTCACAACCACCTTTACTATAATAGAGCTAATTCCAATGGCTTCACATATACCAATATTTGCCAATACCACGTTTGATGCTGGAATAGCCTCATAAGTGTCAAATGAACACTTATAAGGTGTCATATGCTTGGAACAACTTGAATCCACAATCCATCTTGACATGGCAGCCATAGAGGTCCCATTTGTTGTCGTGAATGCATAATCTTATCCTCCTAACTCATCTTGCACATTATTTGCATTCTTCTTCTTCATCTTTTTGCTTTTGTAGCAATTTCGAACAAAATGGCCTACTTTGCCACAAATGAAGTAAGATTTGATATTACCTCATTGATTTGAATAGTTGTCCTTGCCTTAACGTGAGTAGAATGCTGAATCTTAACTTTGAGGCTCTTTTTCTTTCTTCTTGGTTACTTCATGGGCAAGTCTTGCCGTCACATAATCTATTGTAAGCTCTTTTAGCTTGATGGACTCCAATGCCACATTAAGATAGTTGTAGGATTTAGGAAGGCTCATTAGCAAGGTCATCATAATATCACTTTCTTCTAAAGGCTTGTCAACAATTGCTAGTTGGTTTGCAAGAGACTTTACCTTATTGACATGAGTGATGAGGTCTTGTCATGGACACAGAAATATAGACTCGAGATCTAATAAGACGTTCAAGAAGAACTGGCAAGAACTAGATTAATCAGATGAATACAAGAACAAGACTAGAGAGATGAGCTAGAGCTCCAAGAGATGTGTTGTCGAGACTGAAGAACTCTTCAGCCTCGATTCTAATATATACTCCTATTTAGGAAGCTTTTCAAGCAACTTCTACCAACTAGGAAGCTTTTCAAGTGACTTCCACCAACTAGGAAGTTTCTCAAGCAACTTCCACCAACTAGGAAGCTTCTCCAGCAACTTCCACTAACTAAAAAGCTTCTCAAGCAACTTCTACCAATTAGGAAGCTTTTCAAGCAACTTCCACCAAATAAGAAGCTTCTCAAGAACCTTCCACCAATTAGAAAGCTTCTAGAAGGTTCCAGAGACTTGCTTCT